AGCTTTCATTATTGATCAATCCATTTTTTGTTAATAACTAAAATTATTCCGATAATTACTGAAATTCCATAGCTGTGGAATGTACGTCAAGAATGCTTGACTATGAATTGTGGTTTAGGATTTCATAGTTCCATTCTATCCTTCAGTGAAGTTGATATTTAGCTTAGGTATTAACATTTTGTTAACAGATTTGCATTTTTTCTAGATAGGCACGGCTTGTGATTAGCTTTTCAAAATTTTTTTAAAAATTTTTACAAATGTGGCGCAAATAATATTCAATGAAAAAATATTTATTCGTTGCAAATTTTGGTCTCCGTGATATGTACTTTGAAATGGTCGCAATGACCAGCGTGCTTGTAGTAATTTGTATTTTTTAGCAACTGGTGTTAATGTATACTTTTTCTGCAAGGTTTCCCGTACTAATCTCATGTGGCAGGTGATTGTTTTTTGCATTGATTTTTATTTTTTAAAGAACTGACGAGTCATTCATGTTTTGACTAATGAATTCTCGCTGTTTACTACAGGCTTGTTTTGGGAAGGAATTGTTACCGATCATTGACAGATAAAGCTGAATCAGTGGTATCGACGACAACCACATCTAAGGTTATAACTTAAGGACACCAGGATTAAGACTTATCAGATATAAAGGAATTTAGTCAGAAATAAAAGTCTGGTTTCAGTTCTAAATCATTCTTCCAACAGATGGATGATTGTCAGATTGTCTGTTTATTTTATATTTAAATGTTTTAGATTTCAACTTCTTTCGTCAAAAACATATTTCTGGGCAAAGGAGTTTTCGATAATGTAGTGCCATATCCAGTTAATTTATCCAATGAAAGGCGAGAAATGATTCACTTGATTTTGGAACCTACAAGAAAGTTTATGGAGGAAGTTAACAATCCAACGGAGTTTGTACTATTTTAATTATATCAAAAGATCGTTTGGACTTTTGATACATTAATTCTAGGATATGACCGTTTGGTGATCACCGTATTGTATGCTGATTTGCTTTGAGAGGCTACTTGTAATATTCTCCGTCTTTTTTGTCTTTGAATGCCCTTGTCCAGGACTTTTTTGGCATTACTGTTAAAACATATAGCCCAACTGATTCATCGGTAGTGCCTATATATTAATTCTATGCTGTAATGACATATACAAAGTGAATCTTGTGAAACAATTGCATTGCGCTTATGTTCTAAGATTTTCTTCTAGAAATGACGAGAAGGAAGAAATTCCGATGGAAATTCTGTCAAAATTTGCTGAAATCGGTGCATTTGGTGCTCTGATACCGGAAGAATATAATGGTGCAGGTCTGAATAATACTCAGTTGGCATGTATAGCAGAGGTTATTGGTGAATCAGATTTGTCGTTAGCTGTCGTTTTAGGTGCTCATCAGGTATGTTTTAAATTTGTATGTTATTAATATTATGTTTTAATATTACAATTTAAAATTACATATTCGTTTGCATGTGTATTTGTAGGCGATCAATTTTTTTTTAAATTTTTCGTCATATTAGTTTAAATCCCATAGAAGTTAATAATCAGTTTAATAATCAGTTAAATTGGTGGTAAAACCACTAAAGTTAATAATCAGTTATTTCGCGGAATTGATTTTAGCTGTTGTATAGATATTTACAGTCTATTGGTTACAAAGGAATTTTGCTTTATGGTACCGTTGAACAGAAGCGTAAATATTTACCAGATCTAGCTACAGGTCGGAAGTTCGCTGCTTTTTGTTTGACAGAATCAGGCACCGGATCTGATGCAAATGTACTTTTTCCTTCTGAATTATCGTTTTTGTCGAGCGACCACTCACTTCAGTTATATTGATATTAATAATGAAATTTCGGCATTATTAAAATTTGGTATTCAACTCAAGTTTTTATCAAGTACAACTTAAATGATTAATTCTTTTTTAATTTTCATCTTATATTTGAAATTTTTTAGTCGGTACAAACTTATGCAGAGAAAAGTAGCGATGGCAAGTATTATATTTTGAATGGTGGCAAATTGTGGATCAGTAATGGTTCATTCGCTGATGTGTTCACCGTCTTTGCGCGGGTAATTTCTGTTATTTAAATGAAATTGAATTAATTTCAGCGTTCGGAAGTTCTCTTCCTTATTACTTTCACTGAGCAGTTTTTAAACAAACAATAGTCACATAACTTATATTTTTCGAATTTTCCGTATTTTTGATATTTTAACTTTTGAAAGTATTTGACATGTATAAGGATTTGTAAGTTGGCTATTACGGTTGCATATTTAGACGCAAGTAAAAGATAAGGATGGGACATCAAAAAGCAAGATATCAGCATTTATAGTTGAGCGTAATCATGGCGGTATTACAACGAGTGCTCCCGAAAAGAAAATGGGTATTAAAGGTTCGAAAACTGTTGAAGTGCATTTCGATAACACGAAAGTTCCTGTTGATAATTTGCTTGGTGGTTTGTTTTTTTTTTTGTAAATTTTTTGGAGATGTTTTTATTATAATTATATGGCTTTGATTTTGCTTATTTGCTGAAAAAATCAAACAAACAATAAATATACAATAAATCGAACAGTAAAAGGTAAATATCGTTTTACCTTTTTCAGTTGAAGGTGAAGGCTTTAAATTAGCCATGAATATCTTGAATAATGGCCGTTTCGGCATACCTGCTGTATGCACCGGTTCTATGAAATTTTGCATTCAAAAAACGGTAACTTTATGATAATCTTTGAAATTTTCGGCGTGAATTATTTGGTGAGGTTTCAGTTATTTCGTGCGTAACTGTTCCTAAGTTCAAGATCTCATTCAGATAGCCCATATCTCTGAAAGAGCGCAGTTCGGGAGAAAACTGAAAGAGTTTGGAAATGTTCAAGAACAGCTGACTGATATGGTTCTTCGTCACTATGCTACAGAAGTAATTTTCCCATCTTATACAAATATTTTGAATTAGATGACATTTTATATTTTTATTTACGTTATAAATAATAAATTTAGTAAAATTTTTAAGATATCATGAAGCTTATTTAGAGCCTTGTGTACATGTTGTCAGCATCAATGGATAGAGGCATAATGGATTATGAACTGGAAGCCGCTGTGGGGAAAATCATGGCTTCAGTGAGTTATGCTTTTACAAGTGCTGATATCACTTGCTACATTATATTTCCATCATTTTAAAAACTGAGATTTTAGAAATTTTAAATTTCGAATTTCAATTTGAGGAAAATGCGTGGATTGTATGTGATCGTGCCATTCAACTTCATGGCGGCATGGGTTATATGAAAGAATGTGGCCTGGAGAGGATGATGCGTGATTTAAGGATCTTTCGTATTTTCGAAGGTGCTAATGACGTTTTGCGCTTATTTATTGCATTAACTGGGTTACAGGTAATTCTTGTATGTTACTGTGATATTCACCAATTATATTGATAGATAAAAAATATCATCTAGACTTACAATTGGAGTATTTTATAGGAAGAAATATTTTCGAAAAAATTTTCAGTATGCAAGCAAGCACATGCAATCCAAAATGGAAAAACCATGGTCTGGAAGCATTAGTCTACTTTTCGAATCCGTTTTCCCACGGTTGTTTTTGCTACTTTTTATTTTTTGAAATCTCATTACTGGACTTGAAATTTAATGCGGAATTTGAGTTGAAATTTGATCTTCGTCCTCTCCGAAACTTGAAAAGCATTTTTGTGCCTAGTTCATCATTTTCTACTATTTTTATATTCTAAAATTTTTTTTTGTATTTTTTGCTTTAAATAATAATATGTATATTTGTAGCAAGTTCGATTTCCAGTGCCATCCGAGCTTAAACCATTCTGTTACTCAACTGAAGAAATCGGTGCATAGATTTGGGAATATTGCAAGATTTCTTCTTTGGAAACATAAGAAAGGGATAATTGGTAAATATTATACTGTAGTCTGCGAGATATCAGAATTTAGGCAGGTTTCCTTTTGGGTGATAAATTAACATTTATATTAACAATTGATGGGTTTCTATCCTCTGGGAAGGTAGATTTCATTTTATATTTTAAATTTATTGATAAGATTTCGAAAAAAACTGAGAAGAATAAAAACAATGGTAGAAAAAAGTAATTCTTAGATTCGTTCATTTTTATTTGCTTCCTGTCAAATGGTGTTTTGATTAGAACTCAAAATATATGTTGGCTGATATTTTAATATTTTCGTAGTTAAAAAACGCTTGCTTGTTACGCAATATTTTTTCTGGAGATTAATGTTTTACCTTGATTAATAACTGTTAATTATTAATATCATCAAGAAAGACAGTGGGAATTGATACGAATGGCGGATGCAGCAATTGATATTTATAGTGTAGTAGCGGTGTTGTCACGATGTAACCATGCTGCAAACCAACAGTCTTCCTTTGAATATGAGCGGAAATTAGCCGAACTTTATACGCTGAAGGTCAGTCCGAGTAAAGCGATTTAAAAATGCTATAGAGATTTCTAGTTTATGAAAATTATAGGATTAATAATCATTATATCTTGGTTAATAACTAATGGAGAGTTGAGTTGGTTTAACTATCATAACTATTATCTTAAGTAAAGGATTTATATGTAATTATTTTGTCGTTATTTATTAAACTTTTCACTTCCTCTAATTTCTATCCAGTGAGACGATGTGTTTTAGGCATGTGAACATGTTCGCATCTTGTTGGAAGACATTTTAAAACGAACTGAAGATTCAGATCGAATAAAAGCTATTTCGAGTGACATTTTCAAAGCAGGCTCAATGCTTTCATTACATCCCATTGATTACTGAAGTTTCCTTTCTAGCACATTGTGTTTTTTGGGGCCCGGGACATTTTCGTGTTTATTAAGCACACAATCTTATACTAACTGTAAAGTGCTCAAAAAATTAGCACAGTGCTTAATACATATTCGATACAAATGAAGATGTTTGAAGTTCTAGTAATAAAATATTAAATTTCTTTTTAGCTTATTTATTAAGTGAATGAAAAGATTGTCTGGCGGTTTGTCTTATTAAAAGTTTGTCTTATTAAAAGTTTGTCTTATCAGTCGTCTTATTCACTTTTTTTTCTATGCAAAAGTTAAAATTTATACAAGGGAAAATCCATCAGTTCTTAACTATGTGGTCATTTATCTTTCATTCATTTTGATAATATCAATTTGAAAGGTAACATATATGTGCAGAATTCAAAGTTTAATTAGTTTGATAGTGGCGGTCAAGCGCTGTACCAAACTACACTGCCGTTATCAATCAATGAAACATTGTACTTTAGTCGCAACATATAAATTGATCGGTTCAGCTGACATTCTTCTTTTTTCTCCAATCCATCTGTAAAACTTTTTAAAGGTCAATATATGTGTTTTTATTGTATTGCAAATGAGGCAAATAACAGCCTACCAATGGCGAAACAATTTAAATGATATCTTTTGAAGTTATCTGTCAGTCTATGTAATAATTGCATAACGATTATTATTTTCTTTGCGTGGTATTACTTAGCTGTGCTTACATAATTTTCTGTGATTACATAATTTTCGAAAATTTCATCATATGTAATTGATTAATTTGTTTTAATAAATATAAATAAAATTGAAAATATTTGGCGAAATAATGCACTAAAATGTGACTTTTCTTTGAAACATCTCTCATTCAATAAATACCAGTTTATATGAAGGTGGAACAAAAATAACACTAATGGTATATAAAAAAGAAACTGTTCAGCAGAGGAGACGATTTCGCGATCGATCAATGTTTGTTTCATAATGATCTGAACAAATAATCGTTTCCTCAAAATGATTGCAGATCTGAACTTCAAAGTGGATTACTACCGAAAGCAACTATGGATTCAGAAAAAGCTCAAATTCATGGACCAATTCAATCAGCCTTATTTCGATACACTTCTCGTGATATTATCTTATATGCTTTAGCAGGTTGTTCATTCATTAAGGTTATACAAGTCGACAAGTGTCCGGTAATTTTCCTAAAGTTATCATATGATATCACAACATAGAATCACATTAACTTCTTACGTAGAATCGTTTCTGCTTTATTCTAACAAACAAATTTCATGTATAAAGTAGTATATTTGTAATTATAGTTTAATCAGTGGCATTTTGTATTCAGTTATTCAATTTCCCATGTTTTGGACTAGAATATATAGATAGAATCATCAATGAGATCACTGGTAATTTTATTTATTCATTAGTTAATACTTACTTGAGCTCATTCTTCAATTTTCAGTTGGAGCAAGTGTGGAAAACCAGTTACAATACTTGTTCGAAAATCACAGTGAATTTGCAGCATTGCCTACATATATTATCGGTCCAGCTTTGGAGGCAACTGTTACGAAAATGGAAGAATGGCCAGGTGAATTGTTTCCAACTTTTGTTTTCATTTCTTTCTTTAATTTATGAAAATTCAGTTTACTGATGAGAGTTTCAAGATTTTCAAAATTTTGACTGGTTATTTTATGCTTAATGAGCTGTATTCTGAAGATCATCCTTAATTGATTAAGGCATAACATTCGACTTAACAAAGATATTGCACGGAGAACAATACTTGGAGCTGTTTACTCGAGTACCAACAGAAGGTGAACTGCGATTTGTCGTAAACATTCCGGCAGTGCTTGATAAAGGCAAGGGAGCAGTAATTCTTGCAGAAGGTGACTTTTTTCTATTTGTCAGATGAAGCAGTTTGTGAAATTTAGCAACATTTTTAAAATATAACTGCCACATTTTAATATATTTTATTTTTTAATGAATTCAACCTGAAAATACGTTTTTTGAATCCTTAAAAATTTGATTTCTTGAAATTGCGTAATGAATTGTGTCGAAAAAATTGTGCTGCCATTTTTTGCAGTAACAACGTATGATAAACAGACAAACACTAAAATTGCAAGGCAACAAATTAGTCTGTTTCAACTTGGGTCAGGTGGATTTGGTGGCTCGAAAACGTCAGAACACGAAATACCATGTCAACCGATACCGCAACGTGACCCTGATAATGTTACCGAACAAGCAACTGATGTATCTCAGGTCGCTTGACTTTTTTGCTTGTTTTTCGAATCAAAATATTTTGAATTTGAAATGAAGATTTTCTTTGAGACTTTATTGAAATGTTACTTTTTGAAAAATAGAGCTAGTAAAGCTAGAAATATTGGTCTTAGCGAGTTTATAAAGTATATATTTTTATTTCTTCGCAGCTAGATAAGTTGCTAATTGCCGTTTAGATTTTTATTCTTATTCTTATCATGATTGTGGCAGTTAACGATATTGACGTTTACCCTGCTTCAGAATCTTTGCAAATCGGAGGTGGTATGCTAGCATTTCTATAGCATATTCTTTTAAGCAATATTTTGATAATTTTTCAAAGAACTTGGTCCTTCCAAACATTTGAAGGAAGAGTTGAACAGTAAGAGATTTTTCTTTATTTTACTGTAAATATTGTTTTCTTGCTTTAGGCGGCGTTCTATCGGTTGGTTGGTTGTGATCCAAATCCACTGCACATCGATCCACAATTTTCTGCTCTGTTAGGTTTCGACAAACCTATTTTACATGGGCTTTGTACTCTTGGCTTTTGCGTGAGACATGTTTTAATGGCATTTGCTGGCGGCAATGATCAGTATTTCAAAAGTGTCAAGGTGTGTCCTTTCTGTTCATTTCCTCTTACCATCCAGTATTCGAGATTGTCCTACAGTTCTTTCAAGTAAATTTTCTCAAATAACTATTTCAAGCTTTTAAAAATAAATTTTGAGGGTAATATTTTAGGCTCGTTTTGCGAGTCCAGTAATACCGGGACAAACACTTCGAACGGAAATGTGGAGAGAAGGACCAAGGATACATTTCCAAACAAAAGTGCTGAATTATGCTTTTTCACTGTTTTTACTATTAAATAATTCATATTGCTAGAGAATTTTTGTGGTAACATTAAATCAAATTCAGGGGAATGAAATTCTCATAGTTGTATTTGATATAAGTTTGATTTCTTGATTAATATTCTTTTTAATTTTTGACAATAGCTATCGAATGTGTTGTCAAAGTATACTGTTAACTATGTTCTATTAAAGGTAAAAGAAACAGGGAAAATAGTGATAGCGAATGCGTTCGTTGATCTGCACGAAGTACCACAAAGTGTAATTAGCAAGGTAAGTAAGTAAAAGGTGCGTTATTGTCATTTTGAAATTTTTGTCACAATTAATCAATTTCAACAAAATTTTCATATTATAAGAGACATTCTGCAAAGTCATTTGTTACGCTTAACATAATTTAGAAATAAGTCGTAATTTTTTCTTCTAGAAATATATCTTTTTTAGCAACTGTTCACTTGTCCATCAACTCTATAGCATTTGGTTTTATAAGTTCATGTGTTGTACCATTAAAAAGTATTGTACTTATTTTAAAAATCATATCGTCGTTGTTCGTTTCAGATATAATTGCACCCAGATTGGAACTCAGAAGATAGTTTTATTGCTGTTTATGTTTTCATATATCTTCTGCAATTTTCAATCGATGACATCAGCAATATAGTAACAATTAATTTCTATATCAACCGACTGATCACTTGTTATAGCAAAGTTGTATGTATAAATAATCAGATTATCCGATATGTCATTGTTTAATTCTGCTCAAATTTAAATTGATTTAAAAAAAATCGGATTATTCAGATATTATAAGATAATATCATACAACTAGAGAAATTTACATTTTTCTTATTCATTTGGTTCATTCCATTGTTTTTCTTCCTAATTCGATTTTCACTTATTGATTTATTTTAACTTTTAATCACTCATCTCTTGAAATAAAATATCAATCTTGAGTGCTCAAACTGATTGAATATCCCGAAAGAAATCAACTTCTAACATAAATAATCTCTCGTGCTTCAGTTTGCAGATTTTTCAATCTAATTGAACATATAGAGGAATCAACTGAAACTTTAAAACATATATTGGCTCCTTAATCATCCAATTTTATTTGAGGGATAGTTTCGCAGCTATCACAGTACTATCATGGTTTCATTTACTGAGAAATTGTTAGAAACATCAAATTTATTTGCAATTTTTTACTTTATCTCTTTATCTGTCGAGTCTTTTGCTGATGATGTAAGCGAAATTTTAGATGAGGAAAAGGACGAACTATTGAAATTTGATTTACATGAGGAGAAAATCATTATATTGGTGCATGCATTATTGATTTGCATTTAAATGCTTTTATCTCCTGAATTAATTTTTTTAAAAATAAGTTCGTCACCAAATGATTAATTATCTGTCATCAATAAATTATTTTGTTCTCTTTCATTTAAGGTGAGATAGAGATTGTTGAGTTAGAATGTTGATTGATAACTCACTTGACCTGATTATAGTCGATTATCATCACTATGGTGATTGATAAGGTCACCGGAGTGCAATGGCATCATCCTAGATGAAATCCCAATAGACAATTGTAAAATTTAATCCGATTTTCATTGAATCTGTTGCGGGTGACAAACAATGCGTCTGGTTGAAATTTTAAAGTTTTAATTTTTTTCATCTCCGGGATTTTTTTTCTGCTTGATAATTAGAGATGAAAGTGGAAGGAATAATTTCAAGTTAAACTCAGAAAGATGCATAAATTTTTTTCTCACACATTAATGACGTCTGAGCATAAAGAATGATTAAATGAAATTTGCGATTTATTTTATTTACGAGTACACTCTGAAACCCGGTTGAAATATCTTTCTTAAAAGTGATACATTTTCCAAAAAAACGAATAATTTAAATCATACTGATAAAAATTCATTATTTACTTCGTTTCCTATTTTAAAATTATTATT